TGAATACATTCACTCATTCATGAATACATTCACTCATTCGTGAATACATTCACTCATTCATGAATACATTCACTCATTCGTGAATACATTCACTCATTCGTGAATACATTCACTCATTCATGAATACATTCACTCATTCGTGAATACATTCACTCATTCATGAATACATTCACTCATTCATGAATACATTCACTCATTCGTGAATACATTCACTCATTCATGAATACATTCACTCATTCGTGAATACATTCACTCATTCGTGAATACATTCACTCATTCATGAATACATTCACTCATTCGTGAATACATTCACTCATTCATGAATACATTCACTCATTCATGAATACATTCACTCATTCGTGAATACATTCACTCATTCATGAATACATTCACTCATTCGTGAATACATTCACTCATTCGTGAATACATTCACTCATTCGTGAATACATTCACTCATTCGTGAATACATTCACTCATTCGTCACTGAGTGAGTCACTGACTGCTCTGACTGCTCACCCAGTGGCATGAGTCAGATGGGTACGATGGCTGGCATGACCGAACGTATACATTCTTCAAATTGGAAGTTTTCTCGGAGAGATCCAGTCAATTCGAATGCAGGTCTTTGCTTTTTATTTCAATTTTTAACGAATATTGTAGCCACTTGTATGAGAACAATAATTTATTTAATTTCGGTTATCTAGACTGTGAGATTTAAACAGCAGATCGCTGTCAGTCCAATACTTGATACTCAAGACGATATTTACACTGCAGATGCGGGCTGCTTGTGGCAGTCACGAGAGCTCTCCTGCACCCAGCAACGGCCTCTCCCGCTCCTCTGGCGACAACGATGCCAACACTGCCGTCAACAGTGACACCAACACTCCTGGCAACAATGAAACTAGCTACACCCCTGGCAACAATGACACCAACACCCCTGGCAAAAACGTTCCTAACACCACTGGCAACAACGATACCAGCAACACCGCTGCCAATGATACCAGCAACACCCCTGGCAACAACGATGCCAACACCCCTGGCAACAACGATGGCAACAACGATGCCAACACCCCTGGCAACAACGATACCAGCAACACCGCTGCCAACGGTACTGGTCCGTCAGTATCTGGCAAGAGCAGCCCGTGTGAGGCGAGTGGCAACAGCTGTTCCAGCCCCAGCGAACCTTCAGCCCCGGCATTGTTATCCTGTTCTTCAGATAACAATGGTGGCAGGAAATTACAGGATAACTATATTGTCAATTGTACGAATAATCCGCCCATTAACTCTATTACCACACCTACAGCTGTATGTGTTTCTGTATCTGTTACTGCATCTGCTACTGCATCTGCCACTGCATCTGCTACTGCAACTGCTAGTGCATCTCCTACTGCAACTGCTAGTGCATCTCCTACTGCCACTGCAACTGCTACTGTATCTGCATCTGCTGCTGCATCTGCTACATCCACTACTACATCTACAGCTAAATCTACCATTTCACCAAGTGCCTCCAGCCCAAGTTGTGATGTTTCTGACGAGATCGTTCCCGGCCATGAGGTGTCAGAAGTCCCAGAGAGAAAAACCATTGAAAATAAACCTGAAGATGCCGGTAATTCTTCCGATTTGATGAAAGAAAATGTTTCTGTGGAGGACGGACCTTGTACCAAGTTTTCTGTGTGTGAGCCGCCTCATAAGAAGTTGAAAACCATGCATGAACAAAATCCTGAGCAAGATTCTTGCGGTGGCTGTGATTCTGGCAAAGATTCTGGTGTCGAATGTTATCAGAAAATGCGATCCAAGACCAACGGTTATATGGAAGACAGCCTTAGTGATATTACCAAAAGGCCTGTACTTGCCTCGAAACCATTTGTAAATAATGTCACAAACGACGTAGTGCATGATAGTTTAGGAGGTTCTGATGACATAGATGGCGGTACATCAAAACTTGAAGTTGTTCTTGATGGAGAAAACGGCGGGAAGGCCTTGCATAGTGAGGAAGTGGCTTCCAACACAGAAATCAAAGACGAGTTTCCCACTGACGTCGATGTTGACATCAACAATGTCGTCAAATCAGAGGACGCTGTCAAACAAGAGCCAACGTCTGATGCTGAGGGCATGTTCGTTGGCTTCAGCTCCACCAGTCTTGATGCAAAGTTGTCGAATAACTGCAGTGACAGCCCCTACGTTTCTTCTGGCGTTGATAAACTTAACCCAAGTGGTCAGTTGAACACTTCTGTAGTTTCATCGGTGACGAAAAATTCAAACAACAGTGATGCACTTGAGAATTCAACAAAACAGGTTGAAGAATCTTGCCCTACAGATTCTACGCCAAAGCTGACAGACCTTGCCGATTCTATCTGTGACCCCAAGTCGTCGAATGCAACGGCATTATCAGCTCCAAACAGCATTGAAAAGTCAACAGATCAAACGAATCCAGAATCTTCAGATCCAACCGATATCAAGTCCATGGACTCAACAGGTCCAGAGTCAAAAGATGAAAAGTTGAACGAGTCCTCACAACCCGTTGACGATGCGCAAGCTTCATCCGTTGTCAAACAGGAACAGGAGTCAGAGCACGACCCTTCCCCGTACCTCCCCGTGCCTGGGGAGTTTGAGTTGGTAGCCTCCAGCATCGAAGAACTGAGGAATCTGGTACTGGAGTTCGGGGACCTGCCGGCCAAGCCCAGCAAGACGGAACTGAAGAAAACGGACCGCAGCTCTCCTGACGATGGAGAGACGCCCGGAGCTAGAGATGAATCTGATGAAGAGGATGAGGAGAAAGAAGTGGAAGAAGAGGAGGTGAAGAAGAGAGGCAGGAAGAGGAAAGATCATGATGAAGATGGTGACGCGGAACTAAACAGTGACGGACGAAGAAGCAAGAGAAAGAGATTAACTGATAAAAGTTACGTCCGTGATAGTGAGGATCAGGAAGAAAGTGATGATGATGGCTGTGATAAGAGAAGGAAGAGCAAGAGGTCAGCTTGTAGGATAGAGGATGATGATGACAACCAAGCAGACGGCGATGAAAAGAAAGATAATGATCACGATGAGGTAAGTTATCATATAGGTATTTATTAGACAGTCATGGTTTATATGCTCTAGAAGACTTACTATTCTTTTGTCATTATCGTAGCAGCGTTTAGAAAAACATTGTAGACTCGAAATGAAGACATATTATCGTATTGTTCTTATCCCTGCTGTCCCTCTCCCAGCAAATTATTGTGCATTCCTTCCTTGCCTTATTGTTACTGCCTTTATTGTTGCTGACGTTATTGTTGGCTGGATGTTGACGGCTTGTGTTGCTGTTGTCAACAGGAGAGCAGCAGCTGTAATATTGACTGATGTTGCTGTTGTCAACAGGAGAGCAGCAGCTGTAATGTTGACTGATGTTGCTGTTGTCAACAGGAGAGCAGCAGCTGTAAGCGGCCACGTTGCGAGCAGCAGCTGCACTCTGCGCTGTGTGAGCTGCTGCTGCAGCTGCAGCCCTGGGAGGCGAAGCTGCTGCAGGCGACCAGGAAGATGCGCAACACGCTGCGCAACGAGCTAATAGAGTGGCAGAAAAGGTTCAATTTATTTAAATTGCTTCAATTCAATTAATTAAATAAGTGCCCCAATTGATTAAATTTTGGATGAACTCACAACTGTTGCTTAGTACCCTAACCTCACCGTGACTCACTGCCTGCTGTAATCACTATTATCACAGTGATTATTACTGTACTCACTGTACTCACAGTCTCACCAGTACTATTTAAATTGTCGGCATCCCAGATTGTGATGCACAATTCACCATCACCCATAGTGCCTCGTCTTCACCACTCACTATCATTGTCTTGATTTCCACCACCACCGTAATAATGATGACAGTTTTTAGTGCTTTACTATTGTTGTGATAGTGATAACAATGATGGCAGTTATTATTGTTAGACTATTGTTGTGATAGTGATAATAATGATGACAGTTATTAGTGCACCCCCTCCCTGCTCCCCTCCCCTCCTCCGCCCTCCATATTTCACCTCCCCTCAAGGCTTTAGTTCCCACGCCCCACAGGAACCGGGTGTCATCATATGCATCCTGTATCCTAGTGGAATATTATGCAGCATTTCGTTGATGAATGCAACGCCGAGTAGTGCGGGTGGAGCTTTGTTGTTCTCGCGAGAAAAGGGCCAAAAAATTTGTAATGGATGCAATGATGATGGACGGAATGGTGCTGGATGCAATGGTGATGGATGTGATGTTAAAGGATGTAATGTTGATGGATGTCATTTTGATGGATGTCATCTTAATGGATGTCACCTTAGTGGATGTCATCTTAATGGATGTAATGGATGGTTGTGTTGACAATCGCCTTTGATTGCAGAGGACGGGCTGCGGAAGCGGAAGCTGCGCAAGCGACGGGCTAAGAAGTCGGCCCTTCAGACGTCCTCGTTGGAGTACCCGTCTACCGTCGCGCCCTCGTCCATCCTGCCCCCGCCCGTGCTCCATCACGACTCCAACTCCAACGACTCCAACTCCAACCAAGCCTCCACGTTCGCCGTGTCGTCGAGGGGCCGAGTTCGTAGGGTGAAGAAGATAGTCAACTACGACCAGCTGGACTTCGACCACCTGGCACAGGTGGCAGAGAAGGAAGCTCTTGCCGAGAAAGAGGAGAGAAGGAGAAGGAAACTTTTGCCCGAACACGAAGCGGGAGGAGGAGACGAGGAAGAGTTAGAGGAAGGAGCAGGAAATAAGAGTTCAACGCCCTCCGTTAATGGGACCTTCACGCTGCCCGCCCTCAAAACTACCTCTGCCAAGAGCTATTCTGGCAGCAAGCCTGTGCTCACCAACATAGCGGACCCCAACATCAAGAGGTATCTTCTGTCACCCACTGGGGAGGTCATAGGCTTCATTGATCATAACGGTAAGGTGCAGAGAGGCTCCGTTCACGCCACTATCAAGCCCAAGCTTGTCGCCGCCTCTACCAATAACAACAACAATGTTAAACAAGAAGCAACGAGCACCACTACCACAACTGTACCAACGGTTGTAGTGTCAGCGTTCAACCAAGATCGGCAACCTGTGTTGGTGAGAGTGGTAGGGGAACAAGCCCTTCAGCTCATGCGCTACATGAAGCCTGACTCTAAGTTCCCCATGGCGGAGATCAAACTCCAACACTACGGGCAGATCTACACGGTCAGGCCTGACGTTGAGGTTGTTACGAAGGGCATCCCTGGCGTCGTGGACTCTAACGTTCCCCCCACTCCCCCTTCGACATCGGTTGCAGTGTCCCCAAGACCTCCCCAGTCTACGGACTCTTCCCCAATTTCAAGTCCTATTGGGGTCGGCAGAGGTAGACAGATTGTTGCTAAAACAACAACGATCCGTCCACTGACGCCCAGGAAACAGGATTTGTCATCACCCCTTGCAGCAGGAACAGCCTCGTCCCTTGGCGCAATTGCATCACCTCATGAGGAGACTGGGGCGTCCAGTTCAGGGAGCGTCCCCAACACTGTGGCTTTAGCATATCGTGGGCTACCGAGTCAGCAGCAGCTGCGCACTCCAACCCCCGCTGGTGGGAGGGTCGTGTCCTCTGCTTTAGGAGTCCCGCCCTCTGTAGGTGGGGGCAGCACGTCCACTGGGTCTGGCATACCGGGGATTAACACGTCCCTGGGAGAAGCAGCCTCGCTCCGCTCGGACACCATCATCGTGACGGCGACCCCATCCCTCGTCCCCGCCGTAGCCCCCATCGTCGCCTCCTCCCGAGCCACAACTGGCGTCGTCTTGTCCCCTCTTCGGCAGCAAAGGATCGTCTCAGCGACCCCCGTTACCCCCGCGGGGTACAAGATGACCCCCATGGGGAGCACAGGCCAACGGATCGTTTGTGTGCAGCAACAACAACAGCCACAACAACAATCACCACAACAGCCCCAGCAACAACAATCCCCGAACAACAGCATCGTGCAGCTTCAAAGTGCCAGCGGCAAACAGGTTCAACTTCGGGTTGGGAACAACCCCGTGGTGGCCAACTTGCTTCAAAAGAACGGCGGACGCATGGTGGCCGTGCCCAATGGCCAGGGCGGCTACACGCTGTCCATCTCAGCGGACAACAGCAACAACATCCAGCCGAGCATCGCCAACATCATCGATCAGCTGCAAAGCAACCCTAGCAACCCGAGCAACCTCGTCGGCGCCACGACCGTCAGCAACAAGGTTGAGCTCAGTGGGGTCAATCAGCAGCCACAGATGGTGGTTGTAGCCGCCGGTGGGGGAGCAACTAACCCCATTATAGCCTCCCCAGGATCAGGGGTGTCACCGCAGCACGCTACCCCCTTGGGGACGACAACTCCTGCTAAACCTGGCGTCCAGAGGACGGAGATCGTCCAGACGGCGTCTGGGCAGCAGATTTTGTTGGGTCCTGGGCAGCAGCTGGTGCGGTTACCCAGTGGGCAGCTAGCCATCCGTCAGCTGCAGCTGGTGCAGCAACATGCTTCACCAGCTGCGATCACCGACAACAAGTTATCTCCTGTCATCAACACTCAGCCGCCGCAGCTGGTGCAACAAGTAATACAAGGTGGGCAGCTGGTGCAGCAGATAATCGGCGGACAGGTGGTGCAATCAGTGCTGCAACCAGCCGCTGGGGGCGCCCAGCAGCTGGTGCAACAGAGATTACCGCAGTCGTCCAGCGCCCTGCCGCAGAAGGTGACTCAGCTGGTTCTCCAGCCGAGTGGTCAGCAACAGCAGCCACAACAGCTGGTGCTCCAGCAAGGTGGTCAACAGCAACAGCAGCTGGTACTTCAGCAAGGTAGTCAACCGCAGCCACAACAGCTGGTCCTGCAACAAGGTGGTGGTCAACCACAGCAGCAACAGCTGGTGTTTCTACAGCAGCGTCCATCGAACGTAATCACCGTGCAGCCGCAAGGGCAGGGACAACCTACACAAACGATCAGGTTTGTCACTCCTCAACAACAACAACAAACAACGCCGCAGCGACAGAACATCGTCAGCCCTGCTCAACAACAGCAACAAATAACCCAATCATCGCCGCAACAACAACAACAGCCACAGATTGTTGTCTACTCTTCTCCCAACCAACAACAACAACAACAACTGCATCGTCACCAAGAACAGCAGGAACAACAAAAACAGCATCAGGAACAACAGGTTCAGAAGCAGCAGCAAAAGCAACAACAGGTTCAGCTGCCTCAACAGGTGCAACAGCAGCCGACGGTGCAGACGGCTCGCCTGGTGTTGGTGCAGACGTCGCAGGGGCAGCGCTACGCCCTGCAGCATCCTGACAACACCCTGACCCTGCTGTCCCCCCAGCAGGTGGCTAGCCTCACCAAGCAGGACCGGTAGTCGGACCCGACCCTGCTGTCCCCCCAGCAGGTGGCCAGCCTCACCAAGCACCTGCCGTAGGAACAGGTAGTGCCTTGCCAGACCTGTAGCCTACTGGTACCACAACCTGTTCTTTCTAAATCTGGTGTCCGAACCTGCCTCACATTCTACTCGGTTAAATTAGACAGCAGTCAAGCCGTAGCCTGTAAGGCGACCTAATCTGAAACACACTAAGGATTAACCCTGCCGAGAGGGGGAGGGGGTTGAACCTCTTAAGGGTCATTAACCCCGATAGCAACCGCTTCTACGTCCCCATCAGCGCAGTCGAGTCCAGGTTATCCCCACGACATCCCCGTTCCCGAGGGCGTTAGGGTTAAGTGGTGACAAATTGTTATTTGTTTTGGTTTATAGTTGCTGTATAAAGAAAATTGTACATAGAATCCCGTGTAGTTTGTATGGAATTTTTTTAAATGACAAAGTGAAACTATCAATTTAGAATACCCATTATAAGAATTGCTTGATCTTGGCTGCAGCTCAGAAGATGTGAATGCTGATTATGTATGGATGATGATAGCCGTGCTGTGTCGATCAAGAGAGGATTTTTATTTTTATTTTTTATGTTATCGATTTTGTATGTATAACCTAAATCTTAACTTAACTCTTATCAGCGCGTTTGAAATTTCCATTGTTTCAGTTTAATATTGATTTTTTTTTTGTAATGCAAAAAATCGATGTCATTTAAGTTTATGCTGACAAATATTATCTTCAAATTTTATCATTCGATAAGTTTGTTCAACATGTCACTAAATGTTCTGTAGATGATGTTAGGTTGTCTACCTTCGCAAATTAAGACAAGGTGAGCAAATATTATTATTTTTTCTTTGAATGTGTTGACTAAAGTTTTAAATTATGGCGAGCAACTGTAGCGCCGTGGCATTAGTGACAGGAGCCCCGAGATGAACCATCGGTCCAGGCCTTGGCAAGCTCAGTTCATTTCTCGCTAAAATCAGAGACGAATGCGGTGCACCTGCGTAGCTGTGGGCGGTGCCCAATTCTGGTTACTTTTTAGTAGGAGATTGAGTATTAACTTCAAGGTACGCTGCCCAATTCTGGGTTCGTTTTAGTAAGAGATTATTGAGTCTTAACTTCATGGTTCAGCGCAGTGAAAAATTACACGGATTTTATAATTTTTGCTGATATAGTATAAACGTTGAATGACGAACGTTCAACCCCACGGATGACGAGTATGGCTGTCAGACATTTCCATGGTTTGGGGTACCACAAACCATGTAACCTCCTCCTCACTACTATCAATACTATACGAGTGTAACTGTAGTTGTTCACGAGTGTCCGCAACTGTAACGCTCGGCGACACAGTTCAATTACTCACAATACTTGTACCTATGTAATTATTGAACGTAATTTATGACTACGCTAGTGTGACATAGCACGTCTTGCATATTATAATTGCTTTCACCTGCAGGGATGTACATCTTCGCTAACATGTTCGGCTGCAGAATGTACAGCTGCTATTGCCACACCGTAGCGGTTGTTTCACGTGTGGTATAATAATGCACTTCACTCGTCACGTGTGGCCTAATTTTAATAAATTGCGTCATGATTTGTTATCTCGCCTTCAATATTGTGTGGGAACAGTTCCCATCTTTCTTGTTTCCAACGCCAACTTATCAGGTTTTGAACCCTGATGGTATATATATGCTTTTTGTCCCTGTTTTTTCATGTTCTAATAGTCAATTTATTGTGTTTTGAACGTCAAATTTTCAGGTTTTTAACTTCTATAGTCATTTCTAATTTTTGCGATAATTAAGTTCACATTCGCTTGTATTATTGAATCTAATTAATTAATTAATAGTGACGGCATCATAAGTACTTGCAGCGCTGAGTAGTGATATATAATCTTATGTTGAGTATAACTTAGCACAGACACCCGCTCCCGCTTTCCTTCCTTTCTTTGTTCCCTTCTTCCTTCCTTTTTTGAGTCAGCCTTTTCTCCAGTCTCCTTTTCTGTTAATTAAATTATACAAGTTTTTCAGTTTTTAATATAATTTTTATCTATTCGCTGCTCCTTTCCTCCCTCCTCGTGACCACCTCGCTGTAGATAATCTCTAGGTGACCGAGAATCTCGGTCTCTTGTTCTAGTAGATGCCTGCACTAGACGCTCATAATACATATAGACATACTCAGTGCGTGTGTTTCAATACATCCTTCGTCGTCCTAGTGGTGGACTACTCTGTTAGGAAGAGCTCTACAACAACCGGTAGGGGGTTAACATGTTGCTCTGGTAAGAATTGCGTTATAACAGGGAGGTTCAAATTGTTCCGGAGTGGCTGCAGGTAGAAATAAGTGGGTTGCGGTGACCCAAGTCTGACCACAAGAGTCAAGAGCTGCATCATGTTAACACTTCTCAGACTACATAGTACATCTGTACATGTACACTAGCTAGGTACTATTGTAACGTAAAATTAGTCAGTCGGCAAGTGCGTGAACTTGGTGACAATCAATGATGCATTTGAGTGCGTTTAACATGCGTCGAGGTGAAGCACCAAAACGATCCATGTGAATTGTATTCTATTCTTTGCAGGAGAGCAGAGCGATCAGAACGCTTTCGATTCGAGTATAAACCTTAAAATTCAATTATGTTCTTATATTCGTTATCCTGCAATCTCTAAATTTCAAAGCTAGAGGTTATCCGTTATGTTTTCTGCCACTGTTGATCTTAGGGGCGGCAGCGCTCACGGGAATGAAGCTCCTTGCTACCACAACATTTCCGTATGGATTTTACAGCTGTCGTGCAAGGACCACTTCATTGCTTTGATTGTTGCGATGACTTCATACGTTCATCACTCATGAACTCGTTAAGGTGTTGCAAATGATCACTGATCACACTCTGATTTCTTTGTTTGCATCTTCCAGATTGACTGTCTATGGCACATAGCACAGCTTGCTACGATATTTACCTCACATATGATCCCCGCTTGATGGTTCGTCAGCACACGGAGCTGCCAAACAAACTCGATCACAAAAGTTTATAGCCAAAAAACTGCCAATAAAGTCCGCTGTATTTAAAAATAAATCACTGGGGAGATCAACTCCTTCCCCACCAGCTGCATCGTTTCTGCTCCATAGCTTTGCAATAAATACAGCATATTTCACCAATGAAGCTTGAGAAGTTTCTCGCCCTTTTTTATCTTATTAAATTCTCAGAGGATATGGGATTTTTGCAATGATTTCACACTGAAACTAAAAATTATCGACGTAAATTTACTCCGCTGGCAGGCATCTGTTGAAATAACACGCCATCCTTGTTTGTGTTGTCAAAATTTGGAACGCCTGATTTTTCATGATATATCGTCGGCTGGATCAATGTTATTTAATAATTTACGTGAACCGTTTTTTAGTTGTAAGGTGGTTGGTATCTCATTATAGAGGTAACATTCGCTAACCTTACCTCTTATAGTCTTATTAAAGGTAACACTCGCTCCTTTTGTTGCTGGGCGTGTTAATCGACAACGACCACACATTGTTTAGCCACTCCTGGATAATCCGCGATATTTATAGAATAGTTCACCCCAACCAGCTAGGGGACCTCGGGGAAAAGCTGCGCCCGGGGCTGTTCAATGTATAAGAATAGAATAAGAATAATCCAAGAATAAAAAATACTATTTTTAATAAAAACTCTTACTGCTGAAAAGTTAATTTTTTTAGCAGCCACCCTCTTTTGGCTGAAAAAGGTCTATTTTAACTTATTGTTCTATAGGGAGTACCGAGAAATGCTCAGTTAAACCTCCGCAACCCTTCTTCTTTTTGATCGGTGTTGGGCGCTTGCGACAAACGGATACTTGACCCCTCGATAACTAATCCTATACTAATCGTAATTGTTGATGTAATCAGTAGTGAACGTTTCTTAATGCTCACACAACGCTGGTCGTGCGTGGCCTCCTGCTAGTAGTTAGTCTGTATCATCAAAATTATGCAAATTATGATCAATGCCATTGATCAGGCTAGTTAGAACTTATAACGTGGTTCATGTCTAGACTTGCTGCTCAGGTCCAGCAGGCCTTCGCTGGCGGTGTCGCCACCAAATTGGCGCTGACCGCCACCACCGATTTGGAGATCCTCACCGAGTTGGGGTCCGGGTGATATCTGCTCAGTGTGATGGTGCGGTGGAGAGGGTGTCACAGAAACATCCATGTCCATCACGCAATCATTTTCTTCCATATCCATCAAAGTACGCGCATCTTCCACTGATGCATCGCACGCATTATCCATCGTATCCTCACGTGTGCTACCCGCCATGGAAGATTTATTGATATCCACAAAGATATCTTTACTTGTCACATCCATAAACGAGTCATTTTGTATCGTATAACCACTCCGACGATCCATTTGGTGCCGCGGCAACGAAGACGACTCTTTCAGAGCGTCACGTGATGGATTAAGTGTATGCGGAAATCTCAGGCCTGGATATGCAGGGTGATGGGGAAAATCCAAGCCCAACGTGGGTTCTACCTCATTAGGATACAATTTATTTTCGTGTTGGTTCCACGGTAATTGTGGATTTGGACATTTGATATCCTTGTTGGATTGTTCAATCACGGGGCTCCACTGGCCTGGAGGAAGCAGTGGAAGAGACGGAAGCCTCAACGATGGATATTCATGAAACTGATGGATATTCTTCGTAGATGGATATGCAACCTCCTGGTGTAGGTACGGATGGAAAGTGGTGGATAAGCCAAGTGGATGCAGAGGCGTTCCTAGTGAATGAGTGCCAGCATCATCCAGTCGACTTGACTCATCCTCTCCCCTGGGGACGCGAGAAGTTCAATTAAGAAATATTGAACATAAAATAAACGATGTATTGTTCGCAGTATTGTATCGGGTTACTTAATAATTAATACTCCCGCCGACTTGAACAAAATTAACATAATCACGGTAGTTATAAATACTCCTCCGGGACCCACCTGCCCCCCGCTGCATCCCTAAACCCACCTGCCCCTCACTGCATCCCTGAACCNTCCTGGCCGCATTCCTGCACCACCTGCACACCACCTAGCCACACACTATCCACCACCTGTGCACCACCTCCTGGCCACACCACTTTACATCCTCCGCTAACCACGCATGCACCACCTTTCACTACTCGTGCACCACATTTCAACACTCATGCATCACTTTTCACCAGTCGTGCACCAGCTGTCACCACGACCACCTGCTGGTTCTGGTAGGCGGTGACGGTTATGAAGCTGGTGACGGGGAAGACCGCCACCTGCGCCGTCTGTCGGTCGATCTTCGTCAACCACTCTGGGGAGGCGAGCCTGGGGCCCTTCCTGCGGCCTCCCACATCCCCACCGTCCACCTCTGGGGGAGTATATGGTGAATTACAGCTCAGTGACCAAACAAATGTATAAAATTTACATATGTATTCATCGAAATTTGTTTGTATTCGTAGAATGGCACCAGTAAATTATAGGGGCGTTTTTCTAAGATACTGAATTTGTCTGAATATTTCCGGGAAAACCATTATGTTTTAACGCTGGAATTAGAAGAAATTGAAAAAGTTAAAATTTTCAATTCAAATGTGATTTCTATTGGCGATTGTAAATTATTTAAAAAAACAAGTTGAAGTTTCCATCGGATTAATAAACTTGATTTTAATGTGAGTACCGTGATAAATATGGATTAGAATGGGTCGTTATTTAATTTGCGTACATTAGTTTCAAACTAATCACGTAATTCGGGATGACGGGTTTCAGAACAACGGTAATGTCAAATTTCAGGTGCAATTCTTATCGGGCTACGCCGGGCTAGTCTGCTATAGTTTATCTATACATCAACCCAAGCACCGACTTGATCGCAAGTATTGACTTATTTAGTTATTCCACATAATTTTGTTCTCATTACTTATATTCCAAGAAACACAATGGTGCCAATTTCTTTGAAGCTTAAGTTATTTCAGTTACCCGCCAGAGTCGCCGGGAATGAGAACAACGTAGAATTCTGCCCAGGAACTCGGCAAGATTCCCGATTCCTATTTTTTGTTCCCAAAAGAGAATCAGAGATTTCTGGAGCATCCTGGTATTCCTGAATCCAAATCCTTGGCTGATATTTCTGCATCGAGTGAAGACAAATCTGCAAACCAGAGCTGTTGTCACACCAAGCTTTTATATTTGTGATGATAACAGTGACGTCATTATCGTGTTATAGTTGTAAGAGATAACATTGTATCGTATTGGTCTAATATTGGTCTAATAAGGATGACAGACATTTGGATCACCGAGACGTTAGTAGATGACCTACGTTCTATGTTCGTCTTTCACCTCACATTTGTGTCCGCCACATGTTTATTTTAATTAACGAACTGCTCCCTTGAATCAATTATCTGCACCTTATCAAAGTATCCATTGCTTCCTACTTTCACTGTTTTCCCATTTCCTTCAACCACTTGTCTGCTGCCCCGCCTGCCTTTTGCCTCGCCTGCCCTTTAATTTGCCTCATCTGACCTTTGCCCCACCTGCCTCTTTCTTCCAATCACTTGCCCTCTGCACCACGTCTCTTAAGCTACTCCCTTCTCCTACTTCACCTTACTATACTCCCTATTTTCTCTCTTCCACCTTTTTTTCTACTCCTCCTAACACTTGCCCCACCTGCCACCTGTCTCACCTGTCCGCTGCTGGTGCTGCTGTTGGTTAACTTGAGTTTGTCAAAAGCGATGCTATGAGCACCGTTCCAGCAAGACCCCAGTGCTGGGCTGTCAGGGTGCATGTATAGCCCCGCCCCACTCTCCTCCCCGTAAAGGGGAATCTTGCTGCCATCACCGGCACCTCTTGGAATATCCTCTGTGCTGGGAATGCCAGCATCACTTGGAATTGGCGTTGTGCTGTGAATATCATCACCAGTTGGAATCCCCTGATCGCTGTTCGCAATATTTGCAATGGAAATTTTCTTAGAGTTGGGAGTTCCGCTCTCATTATACAGCACATCACTCTTACGACTGCGAGTGCCGATGGGAGTTCTATCAGGAACTGGAATCGATTCCCGTTGTTTGGGAGTGCGGTCGGTTTTGGCTTCGGCTCTCGATTGGTTTTCTCCGACGCCCGCCACCAGCCAGCGCGAGCTGCCCACGGACATGCTAGTATGAATTCCGCAACAAACGGTAAAACTTCTAGCGACTTTTAAAACTTATGAGAACTTGTAACGATCAGTCAATTTAATGTTATTTTTTATTCAAAATGATCACTACAACTTAGATCTTTCGGAAGCTGGTGCAGTCAGGAACTTACTTAACTGTTACAGACAGTTATTTGCGCAACTGCAACACACATATCGATTTAATCTTTGATGTATGTCACGATACGCAGCCATGCAGTTGTTCACTTCTGGCTCAAGGACCTGTATAGCGGATACACGTACCTCTAATGCATGTACCAATTCTATCCCTTATGTGTCTATGGCAAATGCAATATTGACTACTTGACGTACCTTTGGTACACGTATCTGTAGCGCTTGTTATCGACGGGCTGCATGTCGGCGTAAAGCAGATACATCTTATCAGGATCTAGACCGCTGATACGGATACGCAGTACCGGGAACATTCGCCTGTACGGAGTAGAGAGACACCAGTCGGAAATATGATAATCTACCAGACACAATCGGGAACATGATGAATCTACCAGGCACAGCCGGGAACATGATGAATCTACCAGGCACAGTCGGGAACATGATGAATCTATCAGACACAGTCGGGAACATGATGAATCTACCAGGCACAGCCGGGAACATGATGAATCTATCAGACACAGCCGGGAACATGATGAATCTATCATGCACAGTCGGGAACATGATGAATCTACCAGGCCCAGTCGGGAACATGATGAATCTACCAGGCACAGTTGGGAACATGATGAATCTACCAGGCACAGTCGGGAACATGATGAATCTACCAGGCACAGTCGGGAACATGATGAATCTACCAGGCACAGACAGGAGCATGATGAATCAACCAGGTACGTCTGGAGTCTTGCGTTCATCCTTTGTTATGTTATACAATTGTTAATGTTCTGTTCATACGTGAATTTGACTCACTATAAATGAATATATCATGCATTTTTGAAACTAACTTTGTTTACATGCCTGAAATTAGGTTTAAGTTGAGTGAGGTATTTAACGCGGCTATTTCACTGATTGTGTAATGCGCATGTTCATATTTTGAATATGTTACAGGCGAGAATATTGAGCATTTAATTATGCATTAATTCTTGCATGAAATATAGCCACTTGATTATTCGTTTCTGAATTTGAATAAATATTTATTTCTACCAGATTTGCTTGTCAATAGGAGAAGTAACGCGCATCATAGATAATATTTTTGGATATTAGAAGAGTTCACTCCTAAAGTGAACAACGTCCGCTGCGAAAATAACAAATATGCTCGCTAGTTTTTAACACAGCTGCGGCCCACAAACCAAAAGACGGAAGCTCTCCTGCGTGTCTGTAGCGATTTTATTGTGATTGCGTGCTTAATGGCGGGGCAATTTTAATGGAAATTACACCTCTTATTGGAGTATTGGTATAACATTTAGAGAGGGCACCAAATGAGACGCCCTCTCAAAATGATAATTAGATTTATCAATTAAAGAGGGCCATAGAGTTAATCAGAGGTACAATTAAAGGTCAATTAGAGAGTCAGTTAGAGTGGTAATTAAAAGGACAATATGAGTAACATTTAGAGAGAGGCAATTATGATAGCAAGTACACTTGCACTTGGAGGTGCAATCTAGAGGAGCAGTACGAGAAGACAATGGAGATACAATTAAGGAGTAATCGGAGGTGCAATTAGAGGGGCAATTAGAGGGTAAATTAGGGGAGCAATTAGAGGGGCAATTAGAGGGGCAATAAGAGTGCCACATGAAGATAGTATACATAACCATCGACTGATGCTATGATGTACCGATAGAAGGTTGCAGAAAGGTTTATTTCAAAAGTTCTCAATGCCATTGTTTATTATAAGACCGATAATAGTAGCGTGTCGAATGGTGTTCAATTTAGATATTTTATGTATGCGTGCTTTGATTTTCTTCATCGTCTGCTACTCGACTGGGCTGTCTGACTCATCTACAACTCGACCACCACGATATCTGACTCATCTACAACTCGACAACGATGTCTGCCTCATCTACCACTCGATTGATTTGTCTGCCTCATCTACCACTCGATATGGGTTGCCTGGCTCACCTGCCAATTTTGGTAATGATCATCTCGGTGCCGTGGCTGTGAAATTTCCTCCACAGGTCTGACTGAAGGAGTTGGACGGTGACGCCACCTACTAGTCGCACCACCTCTTCTTCACCCTGAGGACTCACGTCGCATGCGCCCCGATTTGAAAGTCTATCGTTCCACGGACCGCTCACCAGTCTCTGCAGGTCATCACAAGCACGGAATACCGTTTCAGGACCTGACGCATGTTGCGCCTGCAGGATGGATCTCAGTACATTTGGAGATGCGCACTCATTTTCATCCAAGATCAGCGGAGTGCTGTTGGCAGTGGGACAAGAGTCTTTCTCTTTGGTGTCGGCTTGCGTTGGTGCACGGTTGTTGATATCATGTTTTAGGTCGGGTAATGTGATGAAGGGCATGAGAGGGTTGGGGAATGGTTGATAATTGGGATTTCCCTCAAATGGACCTTGAATCGGTCCAAAAAATGAGCGAGGAGATCCCAGCTCGCCGGCATGTGGATTCAAACTGCAGATGAATTTATTCAGTGAGCTCAAAGAAGGATGAAAAAAATGCCTGATTGGATCTCCCGAACTGTAATTGCTTTCCAGTTCATATTTTTGTTGCGATAAGTTTTGGGCAAGGTGGAGTGCACTGGTTTCGCCTTGCAACCGATGGCTCACGAAACCGTTCTTCCGCATCGTCTGAAGTTTCTTCACTTTCCTGCGAGGTCGAAATTCACCGGCTTCTCGATATATTGTTTCTGAATCTGAAGAAAAGGATTGTCTTGGCCTCCTTATAGAATTTTCATGGTCTCTTTCTAAATTGTCCAAATTAAAAAAAGATGGGTAAGAAACCGAATTTTGATGTAAACCATTTGGTTGATCTCTACAACTTGGCCCACTGATGAGCCTGTCATCGGCTTCCGCTTGACTGTAGGCTGAAGTTTTTGATAAGCATTTCAACTCTTTTTCAAGTGGCTGTTCATGATGCCCGTTTCTATTCTGGTACAGGATTTCTGAAATTCCCGAGTCTGAATTTATGCCGGAACCACGAGGCGGTTTTTCGCTGTAAAGTAATCTTGAAGTGGAAGATTTTGAGAAACTTGTTGGACTCGGATTCCCGGTTGAATGCTGAACTTTAAAAGGAAAGACTTTACACTCTTTTCCTCTCATAGACAGCCATCCATTTTCACTATCTGTGAAGAGAACCTCGTCTTTGATACTTGGGCTCGTTGAACGCGAGTTGCTGTTGGTTCGAAGCGTTGAATTTTTGCCCTTGTCATCACTCATTAATGCCTCAACGCTGAACGCTGCGGCCTTGGGACTCAACATTATGATTTATCCTGATTTTGACACTCACAGTTATTGCAAAATTGGTAATTTAAATGCTATGATTTTGAAGCGTGAATTGCTTGCTTTTCATCTGTCGTGCAGTTGAAGAGTGGACATAGCGTGCTATTAATTCTTAATGTTGTCCCTCCAAGTGAACATCTGTGGCAGTTGTGACTTCCAACCGTGCAGTTACCGGCGCAGTGCCGAATTGAAAGTTAAATCAATATTTCTTGCTATTAACCAGACTAAACCGTTATGACCACCGGAAATGTCAAATTTATCTCAACACTGTCATTGTATTTTTCGTTCAAAAAATACGGTATCCGACACAACTTTTGCCCCGTACAAAAGCAGTGATCTTTTCAGCTCGATGCTATCGGAAGCAATGACCCATCTCGCGGACTAGCAATGATAGTTATGCGGCCAGCTGATAGTGAGGGTAGTTCAAGACTATGGAAAGTATACGTGCCTCAGGATGAGAGTGACACATTTGTGTATGAAGATTATTATGAATATCAATGTATCGGTAGCAGCCACATTATCACTCCACGCTAATCACGAGGCCTGATAACACAAGGAGATAACGGGTCGCATAAGATCATTGAATTATGGCCAGGAATGTTCGGTGGGAGAAGAATTGTGCTGCAACATTTTGCACACTCGTTATTGCTTCTTGATTAGGTCCAAGCACTGTTTCATCTATACACGAGTAATTCCTGACAACCAATTAAAACTGCTATCCTTATTTACCTTGTTTAATGCACGGCTTTACGTGCCTTATCCTAACGCTCTTGAAAAAGAAAGTAAAAGTAATTTTAGAAATATACAAAGGTGCGATGAAGAGTCTTGATCCACGAGGTAATGAAGAATGAATCTCACAATTCAGGTTGTAATAATATATTGAATGATTTAAAGCCCCGGACCGTAACAAGTACAGAAAAGAAGTAGGTTTCCCAACCCGCCATCGGCCACAGAGGTCACTGGGTCCATTTGCTCCTTCGTGAATTGCAGGCGACATCGAACGTCCGCAGGTGGCGAAAAGTGTAAGAGTGGTAAGGGGTGTAATGGGTAGTGGTGTTAAAGGGTCTAAGGGGTTGAGTAGTGTAGTGGTGTTAATGGGTGCAGGGAGTTGAGTTTAAAAGTTTTACGGGATGTAAGAGGTGAAGATAGACTGATGGAATTACAAGGTGAGTGTTGGTAGACATCTACGGAGAGATTTTGTTAAAGAACGGTGGTGAGAATGTGGAGTAGGGTGATACTAGAAAGTGAAGGATGAGAATAAGGAAGATGAGGTAGTATGCACCCCGTGCAACATGTCGGAGAAAATAATTAATAGAGTACTCAAGTGACACTATGAATGAAACATAAAAGAAGAGACGTTTCAATAGAAATGAGGAAGATCTGGCATGGACAATATGTAAGGGACAATTGAATAAGTGAGAGGAATGAGTGAGAGACACACTCACTCTAGCATGAGAAGTGAAGCAAGTGTATGACACTCCAGACAGTTGGATAACAGCAAGACCCTTCCATTGTCCCCTGATATCTCCTAAATCTATCGAGTGTCAATAGCACGGAAGATAGAAGCCCATGGGAAAATTCTTACTGCCCGGTTATCTACTGGGCTGATAAGGGCCGCTCTTCAATCATGGTCGATCTTCTTTTGAGTGATCAATCCTGATCAATCTAGGCGGGATGCGATCAATAATTTCGTTAAGTGGTATGGATCGACCAAGTATGATCGGAATGAGGCTTGTGAAATTAAATCGATCAGTCATCCCCTCTCAGGAAATGGGATCTTATTGCAAGCGCGGGCACCACTTGAAATATCCTCTGTGCTGGGAATGGAATTGGGATTTGCGTCATGTTGGGAAAATCATCACCAGTTGGAATCCCACGACTATCCGCGGTATTTGGAATGGAACTTTTCCTAGACATGGGAGCGCCTCTCTCACCACACACCACTAATCAAAATCTCATCTCATATTGATTCTTGTCAGAATGGATCTAACAGTATCTGCTTGTCCAAGTAGTTCTAGCAGCTATCTACTTGTTCCAATGGGTCTACGGGATATCTAATTGTCCCAGGATATTTAGCTGCTATATACCTGCAGTTCAACCTGACACTTCAGTAGTATAACAAATCTTCACTCTCCTAAGATATCAACCTGGATACCTGATCTCACGAGGACGCTGTGCTGGACGGTCGACGGATTCTCCAGCTAACACGGGGACGTGGTGTAGGGTAGTCGACAAGTCCTCCAGGTACCCCGGGGACGTGGTGTAGGGTAGTCGACAAGTCCTCCAGGTACCCCGGGGACGTGGTGTAGGGTCTGTCTCTTATACACATCTAGATGTGTATAAGAGACAGGTATAGGGTGGTCGACAAGTTCTCCAGGTACCCCGAGGACGTGGTGTGGGATGATCGAAAGGTTCACAACCCAGAAAAGTTTTGCGTGCCTGCCATGCCCTGGAGACACTTTCAGAACCTGCCTCTCATGTGGCTCATGTCTAATAAAGACTTTAACTGAATTACAACTATAATTTTTAATTTTTAACAAGTTTGTTGTTGTAAGGATTTAACTTTCGACATTTTCTTCAGAATTTCACCGTTTGTCAATAAAAATTTTGCAAAACGATATTATTTTCTTCAAACCCAGTCTTTGATTAATTCCGAAAACTGGTTAATACAGCATATTCCGAACAATTTGTGATCCTCCACCCAGTTTGGTAGTCATATCTGATGATCTAAACACGTGATAGTTTAAATTGAAATGTAAATTATTTACCTCACCAGCATCGATGATTGCGCTTTCTATGCGACCAATAACTCTGCTTCATGGGTCGAGTCGATCTAAAGCTATCATCATATAACATCCGATGTCTACATGTCGTATGTTTGATTTGCCACGTAATCAGCTATAAATAAAATTATGTTTAGAATTACAAAGTGTGCGAAGCTACTTACTAAACTAAGCGAAAAATTTACCACGCGGAGCCGATTTGGAGCGAAATCCACTGGCTGCGCATTCAGCAGCGCACGCAGTTCAAGGTCGCTATGCTAACGTTCCAATGCCTTCATGGTCTGGCGCCTTCCTATCTCGTAGAATGTCTGCAGCGCGTGTCGGATCTGCCTTCTAGAAGGCGACTGCCTTTCTTCATTAACAGCGGACCTCGTCGTTCTATCTACACGTCTATCTACCGTCAGAGCGTTTCCGATCGCCACCGCCAGAATCTGGTACAGTCTACCGGGTTCCGTAACATCGGCTCCTTCGTTGCAACTGTTTCGTCGACGGCTAAAAACGGAAATATTTCGTAGAGCCTGTATTATACATGTTATTTTTCACTTGTTATTAAACTTATGTGCAACGTGCCCTCGAAGTTCGTTTGAACCAGATGCTACTGTAAATGCTTTGTAGAATAATACTATTATATGTAGAGGCTTCAATCCTCAACGTTTCAAGCGAGTTATTTTACATTCTGTTTGGTCGACATAGTAACCTTGCAGGAACTGTGGACTGCAGAACAGCCCGTGGCAGCGATAATTTGGCAGAAAAATGTTGGTCATGAAATAGCGAGTGGCAGCGATAAATAAACAGGGATATATATTGACCAAGAATAGCGAGAGGCAGCGTTGAACAAACGGGGATATATTGGGCTAGAACAGCGAGCGGCTGTTCTAACTGAACTCCCAAGATGCGAAGTGGGTGGAAACACAAGAAAATCATATCAAGATAATCGATACTCCACGTTAACTACTGTAGCCTCGTCGTAACTCCATGCAAAAGATAAATGACTGTATTGCGATAGAGCAAATTCTTAGAATTTCATGAGGATCGGGCATCTCCTTCGTTGGCAAGGTATTAACAGATCCTGTCACTGCAGTCATGTCTTCCGACCACTTGTATTTTATCCGATTTTATCGTGGCATACGCCTGTAGTCTAATTCATAGGTTTTCCTTATAATATAACAAAAAGATTAAAGCAAGTCCCTTTCTCATTGCCCGTTAACACTTGCATTGTGTTCAAATAACCCGCACTTGGTCGATCATCAACGAGGTTTGTGCGACGCTCCAACTGACGCAGCAGTTCACAAGCCTACGAGGGTAAAACTACCATCACAGGTAATTAGTAATTCACAGCTGCAGGTTTGTTGAGTATATTGAATGGATTACGTCATTTGGCCATGTCATATCTAATTATTAAATGGTTCAAATCATTTCAAGAGACGCCAGAGCGACGCCACGAAAGCATGCGCTGTTTATCACGTCCGCTCGTCACTCCGATAAACGAATGATCAGCGCCGTCGTGCAGCGTGGCTGCGGCGCTGGCGTTCCCCGTAAGTGACTAATTGTCTGGCAGGTAAGTGACATGCTCTAGTGATATGGAATTAGCTTGCATGAGTGGGGATAAGTCAAATCATGAATTCAGCCTACAGATCACCCTGGATGATTTTGTCGCACGATCGACTTTAAGCTTCATTCTTGCCGAGGCAATTCGCGACTTTTCCTTCCCCTTGATTGGATCGATCAATGCTTAAACATTCAATTACAATGAAATCGGGTAGGTTAGTGGAATATTTTTTTAATCCAAGGTCCGAATGATCATACTGCTTATTGATATCATCTATGACATGGTTTGCATAGAACATTTTCACGCTCTGCACCACCTGTTGGAGGGCTGTGGCTTAGAATATTAGTCATCCCAGCCAGCTTTATCAGCTACATTGGAGGATATTTAGTGGCGCCGCAGCAATTACCGCAGCTACACTCACAAAACTCAGTGGGATCGTTGAGAACCATCACGACTGGCCACTTGTAGCTGTCAACTGCGGGGCCTTATCTAGGTGACTGTGACAACCCGTCCATTGCATAGAGTGAGCTCCCTCAAGTGGTCTCCATTAAAGTATCAGTGCCTCATCTATTTGAGAAGTGGCTCCGGGTCTCACGCATTAGAATGATTATATGCTTAGTGTAATGAATATACAATTACGAAGCTATTTATTGTGTACGGAGGAGGTCAAGTTGTAAACAATAGTATACTTTTCTCGTCCCTTGGAGAACATTTCTTTCTTTTAACTAGGCAATGCTGATGTTCTTTAATTATGAGAAAGTGAACAATTCAAGTTTTTAGTTTATTTTGATCATTGCTACAGCGGTAATTCTTGGTTTACTTTTTGTATGCTTATGGCGGTCGCTGGCAAAAGTGAGCCGTTCTAAGTAAAAAGTCAGTTGCCACCGCGACGTCGTCATCCGCTGCTTGTAAAGAAGTCATCTTCAATGGGCATGAATAAGAACGACGAAATAGACGATATGAGTGAGGTAAATAAATGAGAAAATTGGTTTTACAAGCGTAAATTTATGTGATATCATTTTTAAAGTCTTATAAAAAACCCTAGAGTATTCGCAATGGTGTTACTCCCGGTAAACCTAATTTGAAGTCGCTGACTTGCATGAGTACATGACGGAAGCCAGCTTTGCCTAATTTCACCCTCAAATTTATATTCCTTTCCATAGATAAGCGTGCTAAATGTCATGGTAGCCTTTGAAATCAAGCGCATGAAGCCATTGCGCGGTAAGTCCGCAGCCCCTTGTTTAAAATTAAGTTAGCCCATAGCTAACATAAGAGTTTAATTTAGTTACGGGTGCATCCTGATTAGGAGACGAAATGTAAATAAACTAAAAACCTAGATGCAGACCATTCTCTTCGGAAAATTCTGAGACACATGGATGTATTTCGAAGCATAGTTTTTGTAACTTTTTGTAATGATAATGCGATTATGAGATATTTTGCATTTAGAATAAAGCTAAGGCATGGAAAGATCAAAAACTCAACGTAATTTATGCACTATAATTTATTCAAGGCCAAAAAATGCATAATAGTTGTACGACTGTACGATGATATTTTCAATGTATTACAAGGCTTTAAGCGATAGACGTGACCATCAAGAATAAATTCTACCTTTGAACGTAACTCGTGCCCCATTGTAGCCAATGAATCCATAATTTGTTAATAATTTCTTAGAAGAATGAAGTATCACGATTCTAATGAAATTATTTTTTTTCTAAATTCCCATTTCTTGTTAGTATATTTTCAGATGCCTTCAATTCTGCCATTGTATCGGGATGCAACGAAACCAACCTCCACTCATAGCAGCCGAGTAAATGTAAGGTTACATTCGTGCATCACGTCGACATTAAAGCGTAACACGTTAGATCGAAAACCGTTATTACGGTAGCCTACTTCAGTAGCATCAACACCACAAAGAGGAATATCTGCTATTCTTATTTTCTTTGTTGTGATCTTTGAATTGAAACAGCAAAAAATTCAATTAAGTGCATTCTTTTCTTCACATAATTTCGTAAAAATTCCCAATTAAAGTAATTTTGACGAATTTACTTAATACTTTCTTTTAATCATTTACTCGAATTTTAAGCAAACCAATGAAATAAATACTAAACGTATTTATTCCTGAGAACGGCTATCATTCCTGAGAGCCGTTCTCTCCCAACAGGGGGCAAGTCGACCCCCTCCTGGTAAGTTATGAGATCTTCAAAGGCAAAGTTGGGAACTATATACTAGTGTAAATTTAGCCTTATATTAATTTTGACATCAGTGAGGTTTAAATCATGAATTTGCCTAAATCGAAAATCATCCGAGAATTATAATGCAATGAAAATGACTAGTGCTTTTTCCATAAGCCGGTTTTATTGACAATTTCATCAAACTATATAAATTATCATGCCTGTAGGGTCGCAAGCGTATTATAGAGCGTAGTAATGCGTAGTGAGGAGAGAACTAATAACTACTTAGGACTCAACCAACACCTCTAGTGTTGGATGAGGATTGTAAGCCAGTCGTGCTGGAGGCTTCGATGACTCTTTCATATCACATCGATGACAGTCGCGAGAGAAAGACGGAAATACCAGTCATCTTGCAACCCTTATTACTGTAAAATACCTGCTTTTAGTTATCTGAGCAAATTACTCAGTTCAATATCAATAAGCAAATATCAGTGACGTATATGCCAGGTGTAGCATACAAACTATCTAGGAATAGCATAGTTATTTAGGTAACGATAAGAAACAATAACTTTGATTTATGTAAAATAATCAAATCAATTTATTCGTTGAACCAATAGCAGGAAGCATGCATTGTATATAACTCAGTAAATAACCGTTTTGTTCAGTAAATAAGCGCTTCTTCAGAACATAACTGAATTAATCAGTGTATGACTGAGTTTTTCAGTAGATATTGTAAATCAGTAAATAACTGTGTTATTCAGTGAATAGCTACGTTATTCAGTAAAAAACAGTGTTATCTTGGAAATAGTTGTATTATTTCGTAACTAACTTCTGCGGTCAATAAATAGCTGTGTTTTCGGTAAGAAGCTGTGTTATTCAGTAAATAACTGAGTCACTTAGTGAATAGCTGTGCTTTCCTCTAAATATCTGTCTTATTCAGTAAATAACTGTTTCTCAGTAAATAAACATATTATTTAGTAAATCAGTGAATTATTAATTAAATAACTATTATTCAGTAAATAACTTGCATTCAGTGAACAACTATGCTATTGATAAAGTAATTTTCCTATTTAACAAATGACCGTGTTATTTGGTAAATAATTGTGCTATTAAGTAAATTAGTTTATCATTATGGTGTGAAAAAGAAGTTGGTAGGCCTTAGTTCCTTGGTGCAGCTGGGCGCGGGCTGGGAGACGCCGGGCAGGCACAAGTCCCAGCAGCTCTGCAGGGAAGGCAGCCCAGAGACCGCAGTGCTGTGGTGGCGGCCTTCGTCGTCACAACCGCCGTAGAAATGGCAGTCACACTGGTCCAGCGTTGCGTTGTAGTGGTACCTGCAAGTAGAGGTGGTTGTAGTGGTACCGGCAAGTAGAGGTGGTTGTAGTGGTACCGGCAAGTAGAGGTGGTTGTAGTGGTACCGGAAAGTATTGGGTGTAGTTGAACAGTGCCAGTTAGGTTGGTTTTAGTTGTACCTGCAAGCAGAAGGGGCTGTAGTGGTGAGAAGCGTGCGTGTTAGAACCAATAACTTTGAAAGTGCGACATCCAGGATTATGACAAATCTCAGCGTAGGAAGGGGGAGACTGTGCGCTGAGCAGGATACCACAATCCCCATGTATACGCAATAGCTGCAACCAGAGTTAAAACTCTGCTGGTATGATCTTTTCCAGTTGCGGGTACAAGGCTTTTTAACGCGTTAAGGAGCTTGGATCCATTTACAGTTCTAGCCGATAGTTCTAAAGGTAAATTCTTTCTATGTCGAATATCAGGATAATTCCTTATTTTGTAGAAATTAGCAAGGAGCGAACGCCCACAGTCTAAAGAGGTTAAGCTTTGCTCCGGAAAACGTCGTCGAACCGACATTAGATGGGCTGTTGCAGCCGTAATGGGTGTATTTGTGCCACTTCGCGAGTACACGGAGCAAAGTTGATTATGCTCCAAGTGTTCCCTCCTTCCTTCCCAGCCTTTCCACCATACTCTACGTTCATCCTAAGTATTTCATATCTTCCGCTAGAGTTACGATAATTTAACCAACTGCTTCATCAACAGCGTCCTCAAACTCGCCATTACTGTCGTGCACGTTCCATATTATTCCACCGAGCGCAGACTTCACTTGATGGCTTCTAACGACGCACTAGCGCCTGCAGATGAGAAAATACTGTTCAGCTAATAATTACCTCGGGTGTAAGCTTCAAGCCGATAAAACTGGAAGGGGATTTGCTGCCTATATAATACTATTAGCTAAAACTTTCCCCGTCTAAAAGCAGCTCAACAACAAAGAGGAGTTCAAGGAGGGCTAGGACAAGCGGGCAGTTTACCCTAAAGACCTCTAACAGGCGACTGGATGAGTTTCTGAGTACAATTATAGGTCATATGCCTCTGCTTCACTACAATCGGCAAGAGGTAAGCAACAACATTGTGCATCAGATGGCCCAACTGAGGGCAGTTGCCCGGTAGCTATGGACTGGCCCACGGAGGCGACGACAACTGCCCCTGGGGTAACTCTACTTCCAGCCAAGGGCCGAGTGCGGCAAAATATTAAAACAACGCACCGGCGTGCTCAGGGCTGCAACGTACAGCACAACAAGAATAAAAGAAGATTTGGACGCAGTATGTAGCACCCGTGTGGACGCAGTCGAAGCAGGCAGTCAAATTACAGAAACAGAACTATACGTAATACTTAGATCACGAGAAACTCAAATCAAACACGCTCATATTATACAAAAGTACAAATGACACAGGGTCCCACTAACAAGAAAAGACCTGAAAACACAGAACCAAAACAATCACACAACAGAGAAAACAAAAAATATAACAAAGCAATTGTAACGCGCAGAACATAACACAAAAAGTACAAGACAAACAACACAGCACGTATAACGCACCTCTTGAAGGCTCCTCTGCACTCTCCGACGATGGGCACCTCATAGCAGGACGCGTCTCTGTCTACTGCCGGCCTCGGTCCTTCGGCTCCAGTCGTCCATTTTTGGTTCACAGGACCCGGCGTCCTCGGACCCTGGCTCAGAGATCCCGACATCCACTGTTCCTGGTTCACAGGACCCGGAGTCCTCATATCCTGGTTCACAGGTCCCGATGTCCACTGTTCCTGGTTCACAGGCCTCGGAGTCCTCATATCCTGGTTCACAGGTCCCGATGTCCACTGTTCCTGGTTAACAGGTCCCGTAGTCCTCAGTCCCTGGTTCACAGGCCCCGGAGTCCTCACTCCATGGTTCACAGGTCCCGGCGTCCTCGATTCTTGGTTCAGAGGTCCCGACGTCGTTGATTTTTGGTTCACAGGTCCCGACGTTCTCGGTTTCTGGTTCACAGGTATCGGAGTCATCGGTCCCTGGTTCACAGGTACCGGAGTCATCAGTCTGGAATTCGCAGGCCCCGGCGTCCTCGGTTCCTGGTTCAGAGGTCCCGGCGTCCTCGGTTTCTGGTTCACAGGTATCGGAGTCCTCGGTCCCTGGTTCACAGGTCCCGGCGTCCTTGGTTTCTGGTTCACAGGTCTCGGCGTCCTCGGTCCCTGATTCACAGGTCCCGGCGTCCTAGGTTTCTGGTTCACAGGTATCGGAGTCATCGGTCCCTGGTTCACAGGTCCCGGCGTCCTAGGTTTCTGGTTCACAGGTCCTGGTGTCCCCGCCACTAGAATATCACGGATCCTGCCTGGCAACGGTTCGACGTGACTACCGCCAGCTACAACTAAGGCTTCACTCTTATTCTCTTGGTTGACTGGGGAAATGTTGACTCGGAGGTCGTACTGGTTAGGGTTGACGTTAGGTTCTCCGGCGGTGCCAGGGTTATGTCCATTAGTAGCAATACTAGGATCTCGTACTGTAGGATTTGTGTGCATAAAACTTGAAAGGTGTGAAAAGTTAGGAAGCAGTCTGGAATTGAAATTGGGTGTGGAGAAGGAGTGATGCATTAATAATGGATAAGTCATGGGTTTAGCGGGGTCACCTACAGGGTCATCAACAGGATTTTTTGATGAGTACTCAGTAGGGATTGTGACAGGCATCAAGGCAGACATGAAGACAGGATATCCAGGAGACATCGTATCAGGATATTGCGAAGGGTACCTACCAAAGCTGTGGATATTAGCTTCAGATATTCTGGTCGCATCGTAGCTGGAAAACCCGGCTGACGTATCACGGATACCGGCTGCCATTCCGGCCTGGGCGGGGCTTATTGGCCGACTGGAATCTGGATCCCAGTCCAAGCCGCGCTGGGAATCAGGATCCCAATTCGTGCCGCGCTGGGAATGTGGGCACACAGCCACGGCTAGGGAGATCAACAAGACCAAGGTATGCATCTCCACTAGTCTTTTCTACTTCACTTCTGTCATTCACTTCAGGAGGGGTTTTGTTCTGAGCACTGCCTTGCCAGTTAGAGACGCGCCCTTGCGAACCTCTCCACACTTATCCTGCGCTCAAGATGCTCGTCTCTTGCATATTTCAGAGTGGCAGGACTGCTGCGCATCCACACGCTTCCAGCCGCAGCCAAATGATCTCGACCTTGACTAAACTATCGTCTCTGGCATCCGGGAATCATTCTGGCACGACACTGATAGCTAATGCGAGCGAAATTTTCACCGTATACTGTACGAATAAATCATATATCTTCTTGTGTAAGTAACAATTAATTATTTATTAGCTAATTGTCAATGAATATTGTTTTTTTTTATGGAAAAGGCCCCTATGTACTTGAATTATCTCATGGAAGTTTCATTATTGTGGGCTAGAAGTAATTCGTAACGTAAATTCTGTTTTTCGTCAACCCTGAACGTGACGTGCCCATGAAATAGCTTATCACTTTAGACGTGCTTGCGTACACAGCTCTGAACAACCTCGATTGCCGAGTTGCCTCAGCGTAAGTGATATCCCTCACCTACCGCGCTCCGCGAGCTACTGACGCTGCCGCTTGCGGGTTGCCGTTACGGTCAGCTGAACTACGGAGCCGGCACGTATCCTAATTACTGATTTTATTTGAGCCCATCTAACCATGGTTGAATTAATATATTCATTCAACCATGCATTTAACGACATCTCTTCATTTGTAATCACCTCTAATGAAGGGTAGACCATATTCAGCCAATTTAGCAATGAGCAGTGTATATCAAGTATTTTTTTGGCAGTGTATTGAATATTTCGGCATTCTAACTAGGTACTCGAGGATGGATCGGTTAATTTGCATTTACCAGAGGCTTTTCAACGACTTGCCGTCTGTAGCCAAGAGGTGGGTTATATCACGCGTAATTCGTATAAATCACCCGAGTATATGAAGATTATGAAGCTTCCAAGCCTCAGTTATCGACGTCTGCGTGGGGACCTCATTGAAGCATACAAGTATACTCATGGCTTATACAAGGTCCCCGATGGATTACTAGAATTTGAAACAAGAACCAACACCAAGCAGGGGCCACGGCTATGAACTAAAAAAATTGCGCTGCAACTTCTCCACGCGACAAAATTTCTTCTCGCTTCGAATCACCGACATGAGGAACAGCCTCCCCGATGACATCGTAGCCGCTCCAAGTATGAACGCGTTCAAGAACAGACTAGATAAAGCTATGAAAAAATATATGTTTAGATTTAAAATGCCTAGCACCATATCGAACCCGGTGAAGGTCTAGTAGCTACTTCAAACTATCGTCAGTCATGAAAAGATCCGGTCAAATGACACGATTTTAGATCTTCTGTGAACAAGGCACGAAAAGGAAAAGAATCGGCGACAGGCCACATCGGGCCTACATTTCAGCGCAGAGATCAATACGTTATGTTATATATATGTTAATTCGATTTTGCTCTATTTTCCTTGGATTCATTAGAAAACATAACCATAATAGAAGTTTTTCTCTGTTCTCACAACTCGGCGCACATTGAGCGTTCCTCACTGCAGGCAATACTTGCTCACTTTGATGAAACGAAAATAAATATTGGGACTGACGAGTCTCATGACTGAATCGACAATTCTAATTAGCCCGCGTTTCAATCAATAAAGAAATATCGCACATATCTGTAATAATTCTGCGTACTGCTAATAATTAGTCAAGTTCTAAATTTCATGCCGATCTGTTAGAATTGAGGGAGTCGTGAGCTGTTCAGTTGCGCACAAGTGGCATTTTGCGTTTGAGTTCGCTGGCGAATTCGCGAGTGAGTTCGGAAAAATATCGATGCGTTGTTTGCTCATCAATAGCCAATGTCCAATCCTCGGGCACCTAACTCATCTTAGACTTCAGAGCTCTTGGGAAGCTTAGGCGAAAATAAGAGACCACACTCATCGTATTACACATCGTTTATGAATTATATATAATCATATAACTAGCACATTTACACAATAGATGGACCAGACTCTGTAACACTTAATCATCGTACAAAGCGTGTTTATGTACAGAAATTAAATGATCTAGACTCATGGCAAACGATATAGAAAAATAACCAGGAAATATATCTTGTCCTAGATTTGTTTTGATTTTCCTTACTTACACAAAGCTCAACAAGTATTTGGTATTTGCCTCTACCTACATGATAGTTGATGGCAGGTCGGCAGCTCCATAACACAGCCGCACACACCGTATTGGCACAGACACACTTGTGCACTATACGACCTGTCTCTTATACACATCTAGATGTGTATAAGAGACAGCTNACCTGCGCACTATTTTCATCTTGTGAGCCAATTCTCAATAAGTCATCATCCTGTTCAGGATCACCGGTCTTATGATCAGGATCTTGAGATTCTGGGATAACGTCGTCTATTCGCACGGCATCCCGTATGAGTGATTGTCTGCTGGACAGCGCGGCGCAGGCGTCGTCAGACCCCATGGAGCTCGTGGTGACGACGGACGTCTTGCTCTCTATGTATGCTGAGCTCAGGTCCAGAGACCTAGGCCGTCCTGCCTTGAGTCTCGAGCGCCGGTCCAGCGAAGTGGAACCTGCGCAGGACAACGAAGGATCGCTTCGTCTTGTGGATCCTGAGGACCCAGCGCATGACAGCGAAGGGTCACTGCGCCTCAAATCCCCGACTGTTCCTCCTCCATCCTCCATCGTGGTTCTGAACGACCTCTTCGTCTTCTTCGTCGACGGCGCTCCCGCCACTGCTCGCGCTTACGCAGCAGCCGAGCCTTCAGCCGCTCGCTGCGTCTGTTATGGGGGGAAAAGTCTGATAATCTCATTCCACAATTCCCACAAGCTTTACACTGAACTTATCTTCACACCGAAACGGACTTAATTCACACCGGGATTATCCTTAGCATGTTCAGCATAATTATGTTAGTGGCACCACAGGTGCAGGCTTCTCACCCGCATCTCTCTCACGCACTGAAAAGCGCAGTAAATAATGTGAATACGTCGGTACTTGCCGCCTAAGATGGCTAGTGATAGTTCTTCATGCCTTTAGTTTAACGATATTCCGACAGTGCAAAGTTCGTTACAATGAGAGTAATAGTCTCAGTCGTGCATACAAGCTTAGGATGCCAATGTTAAATCAAACTATACTGTAATTCAAACCTAATACATAATTCTCTATTACGCCGCACGATAACTCTTTCACAAATTCCCTACTGAATCATCACCCGCTTTACCAAGCTCATTATATATCACTTCATTTTATAATAATAATAGCGGTTTCAACGTTGTTAGTCCGTAGGCCTGTCGCCGATTCTCAACATCGCAGAACATTTACAGCTTGTTGCGGTCTCGAACTCGCAACTCACTGCTACAATTCTGCTGTGCATAATCGCCCGGCCTCTTTGCCGATTCTGACCAGAAACTGGCACACAGAGCTGGGATCGAACCCGCGCCTCTCTGCTCCATTCTTGGTACTCTGAACTGTAACCACTGGGCCACCCTGTTTTAGCACCATGATAACCTGCATCTGTTGAATTTGTAGTTCATTTGCACGAGCTTGCCACAAAGAACAGCGCCAGCATCTGTTGAATTTATAGTTCATTTGCACGAGCTTGCCACAAAGAACAGCGCCAGCATCTGTTGAATTTATACTTCATTTGCACGAGCTTGCCACAAAGAACAGCGCCAGCAGCGATAACGCGCATCGACCGCACGCTTCTATTTCCGATACAGTGACTGCGGTACAGGAAGTCATCTAGTATAGTATAGTATCTTCGGCATTAAATAAATAGGCCTAGATAGGCCTATTGATTTACCTAATGTTATCAAAAACATTTGTTCAACTCTCGAAATCAAGTTTGAATGTCGTGACGGCATCAAACGATCTAATTTAACTTAGGGCGGATGAGAGGAGTTAATTTAATCTACATGTATGATGCACAACATGGCATGTAGTCAGCGGTAAGTCGAAAATCGGGGCCCAAGCGCAGCTAGATAATTTTGTAACGAATCAAACGATATGTGTCACGACATTGTAGCATGTGATTTGCAACAGCTATTACATTTTCAAAGTACCCCCTTTTTCGCCGTTTTCTATTAATTGCACGTTTTCTTTCATTTTTCAAAAAATCATACAAGCAAATTGTTTTTTATTTTACATTTTACGTATGTTTGTGAAATTTCAGAAAGATCGGTCGATAAATGTAGAAGTTTCTCGGGGACCGAAACGATCCCCTTAACTTGCTGGCGTTCTATTAATGCCAATGATTCAATTGCCAAACCTTGTATTTTACAAGCTAGAACAGAACTATCCGTAATACTTGAAACACAAGAAACTCAAACCAAACACACTAATATAATATAAAAGTACAAAGAACACAGGATGCCACTAATAAAAAAAAATAAATAAAGAACCGAAAACACAAAACAACAATCACACAACAGAAAAAACGAAAATATAACAAAGAGCGCAGAACACAACACAAAAAGAACAAGACAAACAACACAGCACGTATAACGCACCTGTTGAAGGCTCCTCTGCACTCTCCGACGCTGGCACCTCGTAGCAGGACGCGTCTGTATCTACTGCCGGCCTCGGTCCTTCGGCTCCAGTCGTCCATTTTTGGTTCACAGGTGATGTCAGGACGCAGTTTGGAATTGAAGTTACGTGTGGGGAATTGAAGTTACGTATGTGTGTTAAAATATTGACCTAGGTAGAACTTTGATAAAAACATAAAAACTCACAGGTTTACGTGGCATGTTTCTTTCTGATATGTGCTTCAAGTTTGTTCTTCCATCGCGTTTTGAAGATGCATGAAACACAGCTGAACAGGTACTTTAATCCGTGCACTCCCGTTATGCGTTTCTTCAAATCCGACGGGCGGATGGATTTGTAAGTGCACGATGTACATGGCAGGAGTGTTTTTTTTACCTTGTTGCCTTCCTGAAAGAATAGTGAACGATTCAATTCAACATTATGAATAAAATGGTAAAAGTTAAAAACTCTTGTTTACCAAGAGCAGCTATGCTCACCTATAGACTCCTGCTGACCAAGAGCAGCTATGCTCACCTATTGACTCCTGCTAGTAATTATACCGAAAATCCAAAAAATCATAGTTATTACCAGAGTTTCTCCAGGTTTACGCATTAAAAATAAGAAATAATTACAAGCACAGGACTCACTTCGTCTTCGGCAGCAGAGAGGAGTCCGTTTGGGAGCCCTCATATTTGAATAGCTTGCGTGGTGGGGAGGGGGATCTGACAGCCTTGAGCTTCCTCCCCACAGTGATAATATGCCAAGCATAGTGACAATTTCACTGACAGTGACAAACAAGAGATTTTTTAGAATCAGTTCATTTTTAATTTCCTCATTTGCCCACAATTTAAACAAATTTCTTATGTATGATAATGCTGGTATGTGGTATCCAGAGGTAGGCAGTATGGTAGTGCGCTACATTTTCAGTAGCGGTAGCAGCGTTACATCTAATTCTAAGGCAATGCAGCGGTAGCGCCCGGCGCCCGCTACATACTTAAGTAGCGATACGAGGTTTTGCCGCTACAGCGCTACCGCTACATTTATAGGTAAAGCTTTTAGATTTTACTTAATAGTATTAAATATTATTTAAAAACCAGCATGATACATACAT